TTTTACTATGTGAATTGCTGGGTTAAGTGTCAAAGCAAATGAAATATCTCAAACAGCAAAATATCCAGGGAGTATAACTTCATCCAAAAATAATATAATTGACAAGGTGATGAGTATATTGAATATAACAAACACTAGATGCTTTCAGAACAGAGAGGAATCTTGTGGGCTCTGTTCAAGATGGTCACATTCCAGACACTTAGCACCACTTGTTACACTTACAAAGGGACCAACCTTCTGGACAAAGCTGACACCTGCTTCATACATCCATATTCATGTTCTAAAAAATATTTACCTGAGGCACTGTAACAAGGCATAGATACCTGATGCCTGTTAGATGAAAGCCCGGTCATTACATGGATTTTTGTCTTAAATTATTTAGCAAGTCCTCAATCAACCAACCAAGTTGTGGCCAGCGTTACTACTCTGATGAAAAGACAGATGAGAGACCCTAGTAGCTGGTATAGGTGGAGTTTCCATAACAAAACACACACTATGAGGCTATACACAGAAGATTCAGAAACCTAAGCATAGCTGTCCTGAGCTACAGAATGATAAGTGGTCCTTGCATGTGTGAATCTGTAGCCTTGAAAACTCCAATCTAGAAAATCAATTCCTGTGACCTAAAATTTCAAAATAGCAAGTAATTCTGAGCCACTGTAATGAAAATCAGAGGCAACAACACAGACCACCAAAATAAAGAAAATAGAAAACAGACAGCCAGCCTTGATTTTAGTGGTAAGGCTAAAGGCGAAAATGTGCTTCTATCTAAAGATGAGAAAGACATCTGAGATCAAACTTTTGAAGAAACATTATACACTAAGATAAAATATTGAAAGGGCTTGGAAGAGGGACTGTACACTGGATTAGAAAGCACAGAATCTAGAACCCCTCATAAATCAACTCAATTTATTATTATATAAGTTTTATTTTGACACCAAAACCAGAGAAATACTCTGAAACAAGGCTGTCAAATAATATTTGTGAACATGAATGTTAACACTCTTTCTAAAGAAACCCTGTTGTTTTTTAAAATCAATAGTACATCATGACCAGGGACATTTTATTCAAAGAAAACAACATTGTTTTAACTATTAAAAATAAGTCAATGTATTTCACCATGAGTGGAAACAATCTCTTCACAAGTATGCATTTTTATCTAGAACCGCAGCAGCATTTGCCCTAATTTAAGAACAGTGTCTGTGATAGTTTAATTAGCAAATGATCTAAAAATATAGTGTTTCTGGATTTAGGAAGAGCCCAAGCCCAGTGACTGGCATTGCCAGAGAAGATAAGAGAAAACAAAAGTGCTTTAGGCCCAGAGAGATGTACTGGAGCAGTATCAGTTTTGTCCATACTTCACACCGTAAACTTAGTGACACCAGGAGCAGCCCAAAGGTAGAAAGAGTAAAATGACCAGAGTAAAAAACAGCAAAATGACCAGAAGGATGTTTCCTGTAAATACAGGGATACCAGAACTCTGGACTCCAGAAATGTGGCCTGATAACACACTGGCTTCACAACTCTTGCTTCAAAATCGATTGGAAGATAAATTTTTATTATGTAAGTCACTGAATTGTCCTCAGTACTCTATCAGCTATAGAAATGCAGTAAAAACAAAACTGTCATTGAAATGCATTCATGGAAGTTTCAAAGTTATCACACATCTATAGTAACAATAATAAAACCCTCAACATATAAAACAGGAGAATTTTCTCAATCTATTATTAGTACCTTTAAAAACCTAATAGTTTATATAAAATTTAATGCCTAAAATTGAAAACTTTTCCCCAGTTTCATGGAAAATATTATACTTCTACTCAGTGTAACACTTTTTATTCATCAATTTCGAAAAATTAAAATGTTTCCCTTACACAGTTAACATTGTTTCTGTTAGTGTAAACCTGAAATAATCCAGATAACATGAATATCTAAATGAAGTTATATATTTATTTTCATAGAACCATTTCATTATAATGAGTTCCTACATGCAAAAATCATCACACAATTTAAGGAAGGTAATCAAACACCTGTCTACATCCAAAGTTTACACATCCTAGTCAAATTCTATAGCATTATAATAGTCATTCAGAAACCATGGACCTTCACTTAGGGTTTTATACTTTAACTCTCAACTAAATTTATTTATTCTTTATTTTTATGGTTCTTGTTATTTCACTATTCAGAAGATTAAACTCCCTTATCCAGTAATCACAGCAACAACAGGCTATTATAGATTTAAATTAGAAGAATAATTGCTTAGTGACCTCTTATATGGATTATTTGTCATTTGGACAACATTATTAATATTGGGAGCAAGTGAATTTATTGGACTCACAAAACTGCTGTATACATGTTTTACCATTGTTCTAAGCTGTCTCCTGTAGATCCAAGATGCAGTTAAAAATGTTCGCATACAATTTTCATACTATAATCCCCAGGTTTTTAGTACTATAGATATCCTTAGCAACACAACACATACAATATAAAATATTTATACATTATATATGAGATATCATTATTAAAGTAATTAGCAAGGGCTATTTAACTGCACCAAGGATTAACAATTGACAGGACTTTGGGAACTAGAGAGACAAACACTGTAATTTCCATTAGAAATAATACATGGTTATGGTCCCTTTGGAGAACAATTTTATAACATAGACTAATAGCTATAAGAACTTTTATGGCCTTAGGGCTAGGAAACTTAAGCAGAACTATAGTCTAAAGAAATCATTATGCATATAATTTTACCCTTTAAAGGGAAGGAAATCATTTATATGTAATTGTATACTGTGTGCTGTACAATAGAAAAAGGTGGAAAGATATTTCAGGTCTCATGTTTTCATTTACGGGTGCATATGATGGATTGTAAAGACTGAAATATTATATAGCTATAAAGTATCAAAATTGTATAGACTCTGTCAATAGCCAGAGAAAACTAAAGAAGTACCTCGTGGAGAGGTACCATAGTAATAGTATGGGTGCTTTCACTTTAACAAGAATGGCTAGGGCTTCTAGGTCCTCTCTTATCAGTGGACTAAGGGAGAGGCAATAGAGGGAGAAGAAGGAGGGAGAGTGGGACTAGGAGGAGACAATGGAAGGGTCTATAGCCATGATACAAAGTAAATAAATTGTCATAAATAATGAATAAAAATTTAAAAAAACCAGGAATGGTCAAGGATAGTGTATGGAGCATTTGGAAAAAGTTTTCCTACCATGTGTAAAGTCATGGGTTTAATCCCCAGTGTCTTGTGCAATATAAAATGTTCCAATAGTTTTGAGTTCTTCTTGAACACTCCTCAACATTACCAGATTCATGAGCAGAAGACCTTGCAGATCATGCATTAGAGTAGTCCCTTCCTTCAAAATCATGATTGTTAATCATTTGTGGATTTGTAGGAAGTAACAAAACAATCACATACTCAATATACAAATGAATATATTTGTATATACAACTGAGTATATACAAAGATGCCATTATTAATCAAAAAATACAATGTAAAACAAAGAGTGCATTGTGCTTTAGAAATAAAGAATGCACAAGATGACTCTGTGTGCCATTCTAGTGCTTCTGTCAATGCCCCTGTTTTTTCACATTGCACATCACAAAAGCCTGGCTTCTGACCTATGGAAAGTATCACAGAAGCTAGCTTTATGCTTGATAGGGGCACCATATTCCAGGTTTGATTAAAATACTTTTTTCCATATGAATGAGTTTTATACTTAGTGTAGAAACTGATAATAGTCAATAAAAATTACCCATCTCTTAATCAGACAACTCAGCTATGTGCCAAGGATTTCCATGATTAAGTTGAATAGCTATGGTGCTTTAATCTTGGTGTCTTTCTCTAGGAGGCAGGTAACATTGAGAACAAAGATGAACCATGATTTTAGGGAAAAAATCCATAGCAGTTATAATATCTTCCAGGACATTTTCCAATTATGCAAATGGTCCTTTTTCTTTGTACAAAATCATACTCACTTTGTTCTAGTGCCACTCAGGTCTTCAGAAACAACAAATGGAACTGTTTTTGCATCAGGGATTATATGTGAGGTGAGGTACATGAGAGGGTACAGATATTCAAAATGTGGCTTGGCCTTTACTAAAGATGTCCCATCTCAGTTCATCAGAACTGGTACCAGATTTGAGTCTATTACTTGCAACACTGTATGCTTTGATGGGTAACATGAAGCCTTTGATTTTATTAACAGCCTTTGTCATTTACTGAGCACTGATTATTCTGAAAACTTCTCTAAGAAGACATATAAGGGTACAATCTTACTCTTGACTATTTATATTTTCCATTCAACCATGCAAAGTATAAATGTTTGTGTAATGCCATAACACAGGATTAAAAACAATGAACTGTCAAAATAAAACCACCATGTAAAAATCCTAAGTGTGATTTGTCAGCTTTGCGTTAAATAACATTCTCAACACAGTGGTTTCAGTGTGAATAGCTTAATATTGAATATTCATTGTACACTTCAGGAAGTTGAAGATTAAAGGGGAGTTAGTATTAGTTGCAAGCACTGACTAAGCAGCATTTCTATGTGAAATGACACTGCAGAATCATTGCACTATGGAAGCCTAAAGCAGATTTAATATCCTGAGGGAAGAAATAAGGGGATAATTGTACCTTAAGTTGAAGTCAAAGGTAAATATGATTTAGAAAGTTAATTCATACAAATCAAAAAATGCAAGGAAATGTGATGTACAAAAGCACAGAGCTTAGAAAGTTCCATTCTGGAGACTGTCAGTCAGTTACTGGTGGCTGTAGTATTCCCTAGTATACTACATTGGATAGATGTTAGAGAAAAAAAATAGTGAGTAAAGACTGATTTTAAAACTCTCTACTAGGGAAGCTTAAGAAAATATTTTGTTGAATATCAGGGCCATGCATTTTTATAAGGAAAGGCAAAGTTTTAGTCACTCTAAGTACAGCAGATATTTGCAGTTAATCTTTACTTTAAGTCCTTTGTTAAGAAAACACCACATTCCCTGGCAATTGGCAAAGGGACACCATGTTGGTAGTGTAGTTCTCATATCATTCAGGGGCAGAGCAAATGGCAGTCCTTTGTTCATCTAGCTTGATACCTGGCTTAGTGGCCAAAGGTGTCTTATGCCTAGGTCTTATAAAAATCAAATCGAATCAAATCCCAGCAGCACAGTGCAGGAGAAGGAAGACAGACAGAGACTAGCAGACTCCCGTGCCACACACAGACCAGTGCATGGCACAGGTAGACAATTGGCACCCACTTGCTGCCACACGATGCAGCATGGATGAAGGATGTTATCCAGGGACCGCCCAGCCAGCTGTGGCCAGCCTGCAGCAGTAGCCACCACCAAGTGCAAATATGTTGGTGTAATGTTCTTTTGGAATGCATACACCTTACCCTTGTTCATTTAAATGCTGATTTCTCTCTCCCACTATCTGGTTTCAATACGGACATTGCGCTGTGATATTTATTCTAAGCATTACCTTTCTCAAGTTTGTGTAAATGTGCCACCTTTTGTTCTCTATATTGTCAATTAAAACAACCAGCCCCAATGTTGAGCAATGGAGTGGATAGGGTGGGGCATCCTGGTTCAGAGTGGCAGGAGAGGAAGGGAACAGGAGAAGAGGAAGGAGTATGAGAGAGAGGAGCAGGAGCTGGGAGAGGAGAAGCTGGTGGACAGGTCTTGGAATGATATGGAGAAATAAACTGGACCTAAGATATCACTAAAAGCAACTATAGTGGGTAAATCTGAATGGTAGGAACTATGAGGGCTTGGAGGTTTAGGAGCGAATAACTGTTGCCCAGCATTTTGCTCTAAGTTAACTAAATAAATCATAGTTTTTGTGTGGTGAGTTGGTTATACTGCTGTTTAGGATTAACTGTAGCTTTATTAAAAGGTATATCAATAGTAAATATTAATGACAAAATGCAAAAAAGTATATGGTGATCAGATGGGAGAGAAGGAGAAGTGGAGCAGCTTGAGTATTATGAAGAGAGCTGGAACTGCAGACTCAAGGGGTGCAGAGGAGGAGCCTGCTGTGAGTGGCCAGCTCCTCCATCTGGGCCTATGATGAAGTCCAGCCTGACCTGCCATGGAAGGCCATGTTTGAGTCCTAAGCTATGCAGCACCAAGTGAGGGTGTCGTTGTCCATGGCTCATATTATCACTAGAGAACATGGGGATTCCCTGTTGAGGCAGCCTCCAGGAAACAAGCAGATGTTCAGGGACTGCATAGCTGGCCCTGCCCCTCAATGGATGCAGAGTTCTGGAGAGCTGATGCCATCTCTCAACTCTGGCAGCACTCAGGAGAGTTGGTCTTCTTCCTTGCCCAGGATCTCCAAGGCACAGGGCAGCACTGAGATGACAGGAGGAGCCCCAATGAGGTTCCAATATTGATCATGTCACAGAAGACAAAGATCTTGAACCAGACCAGTGACTCATTGCAATGAATATTTGCAAATGAAGATGTGTGCACAGAGGGTTGCACTGTGGAACACACCATGACACAGTACAGCTTCCACAATGAGCTGTTTCTTTGTTCTTTGTTTTTCTTTTTGTGGTTGTGTGTGTTTGTTTGTTCATGTGTGTTTTATTTGGGGGAAATATTTCAAGGACAGAGTAGATATGAGAGGATGGAGGCGATGAGCCAGAGTGGAATGCATGATGTGAAACTCACAAGGAATCAATAAAAAGTTTTCACAAAAGAAAGATACACATGGTATATACTCACTTAAAAGTGGGTACTAAACCTATAAGATAGGATAGACATACTAAAATCTGTACACCTAAAGAAGATAAACAAGAAAGAGGCCTGGGGTAAGATGATCAATCCACTCTTAGAAAGACGAATGGGATGGACATCGGAAGTAGGAGAAAACAGGACAGGAGCCTACCACAGAGGGCCACTGAAAGATTCTACCCAGCAGTGTATCAAAGCAGATGCTGAGACTCATAACCAAACCTTCCATAGAGTGCAGAGAATCATATGAAAGAAGGGGAGTTAGTATGACCTGGAGAAGACAGGAGCTCCACAAGGACCAAATATATCTGGGCACAGGGGTCTTTTATGAGACTGTATCTCTAACCAAGGACCATGTGTGGATATAACCTAGAACCCCTGCTCAGAAATAGTGCATGGTAGCTCAGTATCCAAATGGGTACCCTAGTAAGGGGAACAGGGACTATTTCTGACATGAACACAATGGCTGTCTCTTTGACCTCCTCTTCCCCCACTGAAGGAGGAGCAGCCTTGCTAGGCCACAGAGGAGGACATTGCAGCCAGTCCTGAAGAAACATGATAGGCTAGGATCAGATGGAAGGGGAGGAGGACCTCCCCTATAAGTGGACTTGGAAAGGGACCGGGAACAGATGAGGGAGGGAGGGTGGGTTTGGGAGGGAATGAGAGAGTGGGCTACAGCTGGAATACAAAGTTAATAAACTGTAACTATTATTAAAAAAAATAAAAGAAAAAAAGGAAAAAAAAGAAATATCCAGCCAGTCCTGATGAGACCTGATAGACTAGGGTCAGATGGAAAGGAGGAGGACCTCCCCTATCAGTGGACTTGGAAACGGACATGGGGGAAATTGTGGGAGAGAGGGTGGGATTGGAATGGAATGAAGGCTACAGCTAGGATACAAAGTGAATAAACTGTAATTAATATAAAAATAAACATTAAATATATGAAAAAGAAATATCCTATTTATATCCACATGAAGAAAGCTGTTAGCACCCAAATAATCATAGTTTCTGGCACAATACCATGTTATGTTTTCATGGTTTGGCTAAATTTTTAAAAGGTAAAATTCTTTGATGCCTGCTTCAGATTGCCTTAAGGTTAGTAGGTTAACACCGGTCAGTTTGGCTTATTCAGGTAAATATTAAGTGCATTTGATACGTAAAATGGAACAGGGACCTAAGTGTTATGGTCTGGGCTAAAATGAAATTATTCATGTGTTCCAAACAAAATGAACTTAAAAAATGAAAGTGTCCATAATGAATAGGAATGATTAAGTTAGACTTCTGAATAAGTTAAAGAGAGAAGTCTGAGAAAGCACACTGGGAAAAACGTCCTGGAGAAAAAAGGGAACTTTCCTGAGTTATTGTATGGAGAACATCAAGTGTGTACTCCAGTCACAAAGCTATCAATAATATGAGTAGAAAATTCCTAACGTCAGGGAGACATGTAGACTGATGGATCTGAAGGTATGCTGTTTTAATAAGCATCAAACCTGATAAATCTGTACATCTAAACAAACTAAGCAAAAGAGAGGACCCTAACTAAAATGTTCAATCCCCATCCTGAAAGGCAAAGAGGATAGACATCAGAAGAAGAAGAAAACAAGAAACAACCTAGGAACCTGCCACAGAGGGCCTCTGAAAGCCTCTGCCCTGCAGACTATCAAAGCAGATGCTGAGCCTGATGGCCAACTGTCGGGCAGTGAATGGAATTTGATGTAAGAAGTGGGAAATAGTAAGAGCTGGAGAGGACAGGAACTCCACAAGGAGAGCAACAGAACAAGAAAATTTGAACACAGGGATCTTCCCAGAGACTCATACTCCAACCAAGGACTATTCATGGAGATAACCTAGAACCCCTTCAGAGATGTAGCCCATGGCAGTTCAGTTTCCAAGTGGGTTACCTAGTAATGGGAAGAGGGTCTGCCTCTGACATAATCTGATGTGGCCTGCTCTTTGATCACTTCCCCCTGAGGGGGGAGCAGCCTTACCAGGCCACAGTAGAGGACAATGCAGCCACTTTTGATGAGAACTGATAGACTAAAATCACAAAGGAAAGGAGAACCTCCCCTATCAGTGGACTTGGGGAGTGGCATGCATACAGAAAGTTAAGGGAGGTTGGGATCAGGAGGGGAGGAGGGAGGCGCTTATGGGGGGTATACAAAATGAATAAAGTGTAATTAATAAAAGTTAAAAAAATAAGCATCAGGACATTACAGGTGTGACCATGTAAAATTTGAAAGGATCTTGTTTTGTATAATGTTCTCAACACAAACATGTCTGTTAGTAGTACTGAGAGACTTTTCTGGCTGGAATGAAAGAAGCATAAGAACATTGTCCCAGAGACACAAGGCTCTGGCTTTGAGATAACTGAAAGCCTGTGGGGATCCAAGACCTGGGGACACTTGGCATCTGGAAAGGCATGGAAATGAGTTATCTGCCAGAGCATGCAGAAAAGCCGAGAGCCCTAAAACATGGAGATTTTAAACTAGTGAGACTCCAACCAGACTGTCAAAGCTTCCAGGTTATGAACTTGAGTCGCTTTAAGCCATAACTGCGAGAAAATTTGTTAACAAGGCAATAAGAAATTAATGCTGTGTGAGTGTGATTAAACTCCATTTTGTACTGAGAATCTGAGGTGCAGGAAGTTTGAATAAAACTAAGCCAGCACAATGAGGTTTTTTTGCTTGTCTAGAAAAAACAAGGAAAAGTCACTGTCTTGTTCCTGAAAGCTGTAATTAGAGGCTAAAACCTTATAGCCTTTGCAATCTACATATTACCGTTCTGTTTGGCACTAACTTTAGGATAGTAATAAATATGAATTTTTCACTTGCTATGAGATTATTACACTAAGCTACGCTGACCACACAGGATCAAAGGGTTTGATGCTGAGCCAATGCACAAAACTAAGAAGAGCAAGAGAAAAATCTACTATTCATTGTTGCCTCAGAAAAGAGATGAAGCTGAATCAATAAGCTCAACAGTGGGATGAAGAAAGGGAAGGAATTCAGGAGGTGGGTGTTGTGCAGAAAAGAGCAAAGAAATCTAGAAAGTATTCACAAGAAGGATCTCTACCATCAGATTTTATTTTTATGACTCTATTTGATTAGGAAATCCTATTATGGAGACAAATATTTTATTGCTGTTCTTAATCTCTATTTTTAACTTGTTTTTTAAAGACAAATGTCAAGTTACTAAAAATCAATTTCAGTATTTTCCAAATGCCCTAAGCTAGAGTTCTGCCTCAGCATTTTGATTATCACCCAAGATGCAATTACCTTATTTACTTTAATATATCATTAGTTCAGTGCAAAGATTGCTTTCAGGAAGAGTTACAGCAACACTAATTCTAAGAATTAAAAATTGTTATCTTTCAGTTGCCTTTCATAGTTTGTCAATTAAAT